TATGGGACCAATCAAAGACACATCCATGGCTGCAGAGAACGTCCTAGCACAGTAGTACTGAACTTTGTAGTAAGTTACTAACGTTTTCTTTTGTTTTTGTGTTGTTATTTTGTTTATTCCAGTACTAACTCTCTTAGCATTTAGGACTAAATGCTGGAGGGCGAGTGTAACAATTGTGCTACCTGTGCATTTGTGCAACATGTGTTGTAGGTGCTTGTGGGTGTTTTCCTTTTTGTTCACTAGACTACCCTGTATCCTACTACATGTGTATACACATATATAAAGGGTTTTCGAGCTAAGGGTTAGGGGATTCTTTCTCCTTCTTAGTGCTCAATTACTAGGTTATCCCAGTCAGTAGTTGAGTGTGCTAGTAAAGAGAGAATCTTCACATAAGGCTAGTATACCTATCCTTACAACTGGTTCTGTCTTGGATATCTTTCAGATTGACTCTATTCTGCCTCAACTGGAATATGTATCCACATATCTATCCTAGTCAAAGAAGAACAACTAGTCACCTTTATCAGAACTGTCAGTAACATTAGAGGTGTCTGTATCCACTTAGAACAGTAGTGTAAGGTAGTTGTAAGACTCAGGACACTGATTAAACACAAGTGTCTGCTCTAACTAGTCAATAGTAGGGTTGTGAGCCTTAAGCCATTTGAATCTGATGAAGACATCTGTCTTTCCAAGGTTAGTGACTCTAAACTCAATACTTTCCTTATGATCCTGAATGGTTATCTATAGTTAGACAAACTCAGTGATCCAACCATTCTGGTTCAGGGTTCTGTCTACATTGTATACTAGGATCAGAAGTGGAACATGTTGAGTAGGGAGGTAGTGTTCCTGTACAAAGACCTTATTGATACACAAACTAGTACATTTACTGTCTACTAGAGCTGTTGTTCAGATCTGGCAGGATTCTGAGAAGGGAGTCAAGAGGACAGGAACCTAGAGCTAGTACTTAGAACATCCTCAGATGAACTGCTACTTGTTCTAAAGGGAACATACAGTTTGTACAGCCTTGTTGTCTAAGAGGGTAAGTATATACACTAACATTTCCTTATTAACCTCTCTCTTTTGACAAGGACAGACCTATGTCCTCAGTTGTGAACTCAGCTGAGGCTATCCCTACTTAATACTACAGACAAACTACTGAGTAGTGAACAGGGCTGGGTAACATTCTGAACATTCTGAGATCTCAGAATGTGGAAGTAGTAGGTCAGATTGTACAGATTTAGACTCAGATGAAGTGCAAAGAGAAGAATCAAAAGAATTAGAAGAAATAGGAGAACTATCTACTTTTGTTTTCAACTTTTTTCTTTCTAATAAATAATTTTGTTGATTTATTTTTTCTACTTTTTCTACTTTTTCTACTTTTCTTACTTTATTTACTTCTAATCCTACAGTGTCCATTGAATCAAAAGTGGTTATTAAAAAATCTGAGTTATAGCCCTTCAGTGTTACATTCACTGTTAGGCCTCTACAAAATCCTAGGGTACATAGTCAGAGTCTAGGAGTTCTGAGGTGACTTCTAGATTTGTAGAAAAGGCTTCTTACCACAAATCCTACTTGTCACTCATCATCACTCTAATGACCTGACAGATATACTGTTACTTCTACAGGCAGTCCTTAATTTAGTACTCTGACTTTCTGTAGACAAAGTATGCTCCTTGCTTTCAGGCTTCTCTAATGTCTATTAGAACAGATTGATTACAAATTATGAGCAGATTGATTCAAGGGCTCAGAACTGTCAGAGCTGGACACATGTGTAAGCATTCTGTACAGACTTGACACATCCAAGCTACAGTTTGGTCAAAGGAGATGGTGCACATCTTCCACTCAGTGTAGGTGACTAGTTCTAGCATTATTCTAAGAATCTTATTGACCAGTTCTGAGTGAAGAGCTTTTTCAAGTATTCTGATAAGGACATTATTGAACCCAAGTATGAATCCTGCCTTCCAGGCCAGGATATTGAACTCCTGAAAGAAGGCATTAGCAGAACGTTTGCCCTGTCACAGAGACACAAGCTTGTTCTGTACATTATACTTCTCATTCAAATTAATGAAGGAAGCACAGAGCTGCTCTATAAATTCTAAGTATGACTCATTGTTCTAAAGTCAGATCAGGCTTCTGATCTAATGAACTTTGATCCAGTTCTGGGCCCAGGTGGCTGTGTTGCCTTCCTTCATAAAGGAGAGGACAAATAGGACACAATCAAGATCTGAGGATAGATCAGTTGAAGCAGTAGCTATGTATAGTTTGACTTAGTACTAGAAGTCCTCAAAGTGCTACCTATTAAAGTCTGAAGGGCAGGCTACATGCACTTTCTTTCTAGAACAGGTTGTAACTTCTAGAACAATTAGAACAGGTTCTGAAGGGGCTGGGGGCATGTGGTTGGCAAAGGCCTCTTAGATAGAGGTCTACATGTATTAAGCTAGTTCTACTTGTAACTACTGATCTGGTAGGACAGTAGGGGTGGCAGTTGGTGTAGTAGGGTCTATGTTTACACTACAAAGGAATTGGCACTAAACTAAAAGGGGTAATGAATAGAAGAAGGGTGGCAAAAGTTTAAAAGGGTTTAGAAAGTTTAAAGTTTAAAAATGTAAAAGGGTTAGGACAAAGGAAAGAGATTGACACAACAGTGAGTACTGATGCCTAAAACATAGAAGAGTTGTAGGGTGGTAATAGGTAGTCTTGATCTAATGTCAGCAACAGTGTAGAGGGGACCCAAAGGCTCAGTAAGGGGACCCAGGCTACAACTATCCTACACAACAGAAATACAGAACACAAGCACTAGAATGTAGTCAGAACTTGCAGAACAGACAGAGAGAGAGAGTGAGACAAGAGTAGAGTATATAGAGTGAGCCTAAGAGTACAGGACTACCTGGAGTAGACAAGATCAAGACTACTGGACCAGTCTGATCTTGTATGCCTATATATACTAAACTACACAAGAGCACTCAGGGAGCATGAGCCACTAAGAATGATGAGCCATGAAGAATGAAAGAAAGGAATGTCAAAGATAAAGGTACAAAGAATGAAAGGATGGACAAAGGGTAAGAGACTATAGAATGATACAAAGAATGAAGGGGTGGTCAAAGGAATGGAATGATAAAGTAAGGAAGGGTAGTGGTAAGAGTCAGCACACATATAGTCCATAGACAGTGCCCCTGAGGGACAGAAGTCCTGAGTTCCAGTACAGAAGGGTACAGAACCCTTAGAACTGAAGGTACAAGAGTAGAGAACCATAACAGTAGCTTTGTCTTTCACAGACCTCTTCTGTGAAATATGATCATACCACACTACACTAACCTGAGTTGCAAACATAATCACAGCTACTGAGTTTCAAGTAGCCCTTATAATATAAAAATCAACTAGAATGGCAGAAAAGCAACAGCATTTGTTAAATGTATCAAGTATAGAAATCATGCATTTTATCCAATGAGCACTCATTAAGTGCATCAGGTCGATCTGGAATCGCTTTTACAAAGTGCAAAGGAGTACTTCTTGCAAAAACGGGAAATGTAACCACTATAGTGTTAGTGTCAACACTTTGTATCATGATCCTGGTTGAGATTGAAGTACACGCCACAATACAATCATGCACACTAAACTGATACCTTCTCTGTACCTACTGTGTAAGAATGTAAAAACATTAAGATGAATATTGCATCTTCAACATCAGTTTCACATATACACTGATCTAGCTTCATGTAGAATAGGGAAGGTAATTTCAAATGGATCTCAAAGATCTGAGGCCTTTACTCCAGGAGGAAACAGCAAGCCCATCTTCCATGAAACCTAGTCTTGGGCAAAGGATAAAGACGGAAAAACGTACCACGGGAGTTTACAATGACATATTGGAAAGGCAAAGACCATTATGCTCATGTAGGGGTGTGTACAAAACTCTGCACTCCCTCTACGTTGCAAGTATGTTTATTGAATCAAAAGTGTGCATTATTTAGGTGTTCTCACAGAAGGACATTGTAAAAGGCAAGGAGCTGGAGTTTGCTGCCAGGGTGACCAGAAACTTGTGGAGCCCAGATGGTACAAAGCGTGATGAAGAAGAACGAAGAAGCCAGGAAAACTACGTTCAATAAGATAAGAATATTAGCAGGGCTAGTGTACAGAAATGTGGTATGTCGAGAGTCTGAGGCCTGGAGCAAATAAACAATGACTAACGCTTCGAAGATCAATTGTTATGGAGCCTTTGAGAATAAGATTGCAGTATGTTATATAAGGTGCAGGCCATTGTAGACCACCGGCTCTTACCTTCATTCAAAGAAAGTAATGCATAGAGATTTAATGTGATCCCTTTCACTACAAAATATGAGCCACTGTTTGCTAGCAATTGTCTGTCATACAGTCAATTAGACCAGAAAATTCCTTATAAGAATAACTGTAGTACTTTTACTTCAGATAGACTCCTGTTCAGTGACTTTCAATTGTGGGTACACCCCTCCTCTGGTTGATAAAAGCAAAGTGTATTAAGTAATATAAAATATACTAATATACATAGAGTGTAAAGGAGTATTCATTAAGACAGTACTGGCAGTTTGCAAATTACCCCAGATTGGTGAGAACATTGCAAGGTACAGGCTTTGCAGTCTTAGCATACACTTCAAGCATTTCATCTCCTACATTCTGTACTATCAACTACTGAGTGTACACATATTCATTATTTCTTATTACACATACAGAATCAACAAACTTACAATACACAGTATGTCATCAAAAAGTAAAGCTGAGGAAATCGAAGATTTAAAGCCTCTACCTCTGGATGAAGAAAGTGACCCCAAGTTTCATATAAACTGGTCCTGTGCAAAAGATAACAATGGGAATAGTGTTCCACAAAAGCTGTTAATAACAAAATGGCTGGACAAAGGATCTTATGCTCGTGTAGGGGTGTGTTTTAACTTCCGCTCATCCTCACGTTTGAAAGTTGCAGCCATTCAGCTCAATAATTTTATCATTATTATAAGGTCATCGAAAGAACTGACATGATACCAGGCAAGAAGCTAGAGTTCGCTGTCAAAGTGACCCATAAAACAATGACTCCAAAGGATAAACCAAGGTCTGACAAAGAAAACAACAAAGCTAAAAGATTCACATTCAACGAAATACGCATCTTGTCACGGCTAAGACATACGAATGTAGTATGTTGATAGTACAAAGACTGGTTTACTTGTGCAATGTCCAATTTTATTTTATTTTTATTTTTATTTGCAGATAAGATGTTATGGGGCGTTCGAGAACAACAATGTGTGGGTTGCTGTTCTCGAGTATGCCAAAGGAGGGCACGTCTTTGATCGACTAAAATCAGCCCAGTACGTATCTGAGCAGGTTTTCGCATATTATGCAAGGTACAAGCAAGACATCACACACTGTTATAAGGCTTTTACTGACAAATTGTTTAAATTTAAAGGCAGATGGTCGATGCAGTCTGTTATCTCCATAAAAACAAGGTCATTCACAGAGATCTAAAGTGGGTTGTACTTGAAGATTGTATTTGCTAACAGACACTTGACATACATGTAATAGACCAGAGAATTTCCTTGTCAAAGACAAATGTGGAGATCTCATGAAGGATAAACTCCTGCTTAGCGATTTCGGATTGTGTGTAAACTATATTTCTATATACAGTATAAAATTAGACATCTTTTTCTAGATCAAAACATACAGAAGACATGAAAGCAAAATCCGAGTGTGGAACAAAAGCCTTTATGGCCCCAGAAATGTTCACAAGCAAAGGCCACGAGTTTTACACAGAAACAGTTGACGTTTGGTCACTTGGGTAATGTTAACTTTCATCTATACATCCTCAGAATAGTAAATAATCATTGATTGATAGGGCAGTCATGTATTGCCTATTCACTGGTTGTGACATTTACCCTAGCATTTACTACAGTATCCCACACAAAGAATGTCCCCCACAGAAATGCTCTCTTGAGTGTGACATAGCACATATCCTCACTAATGAGCATATTGAAAAATATATAATACTCGGACATAGGCTGAGAAATATATCTGATAAAGGTGAGAAACTTAAGAGAGGTGTGAATTGGTCAGCAATCTGGTATTAATAATATATGACAGGACGAGGTTTTCTGTGTGACTGCCTAAATGTTTGTCCTGGTGACAGAAAATCTGCAGAGAAGCTTCAAGGCACAATAGACAAGGTCAGTTCATTAGCTTATAAGAGCTGACCAAATTGTAAACTGACTCTTTCTGGGTATTTTCTAGTGGTTCCAAACTAGTAATAAAACTCTATGGGGAGGCAATGTAATGAAGACTTGGAAACGTGCAATAATGGATGTTCAGGTATATAGAGCATTAAGAGAAGAGTTGGTAAAGAAGTACACTGAGAAGAGAGTCACTAATCTAACAAGTTCTAGTCATTAAGAAAAATAGAGTCAGTAGTCTTCTCAAGTACAGATACAGAAGAATACTAAAGAGACTATAACAGGTAAAGCAAAAAGTAGAGTGAGTAGGAGAAGGGAAAGGAAAGGTAGTAAAGGGAGAAGTGTTCAAATATCTTGAGTATTATAACAGAATATATTTACAGAGTTGCTTATGTTTAAATAAGTACTAAAAAAATTATTGTTAAGTAGATTACTATATAGTTAGCTAATTTCTCTCTTAACAACTGTAATTAACCTGAATCTGAGAATAAACTATTTATTATTGTCTAATAGTGTTCCTTTCTTTTCAAAGTGATTCTATTTAATTATATTCTATTGTTTATATATTATACTCTCTCTTTTTAGTAGTACTTATTAAAGACTTATGTTTTAAAGAGTATTTATTAGTACAAATTTGTCCAACCTTATATAGCCAAATACATTATAAGGTAAAATATAGTAATGTATAAATCTTGTAATGGATGAACAAATGGCTTGTCTCAGCAATTTACATTATATCATATTCTGTTATCCTGAAAATCTCTTACAAACAATACTATTTTTACTATATACTAAGAATATTACTCTATACTTTTAAAAGCTACTGTTGACTTTTGTAACTCAAAAATTGTAGTGTTTTAATAATAATTACATGTACAGTAGCTATATACTATTGTCCTGGCTTCCTAAATGTTGCCATGTAATACAACCCCTTCTCTTGGTTGAGCTCAAAAATAGGTACAGTACATTCTAGCTAGTTTACTATCAAAATGTCTACTAGAAATTAGATTCTTGTGTATACTACATTATTGTGCTCCAGAATACTTTAACAGTCCTTGTATTAAAGCAAATACTCATTACAGCAAAACAGGATTGTTTGTTTCTTTACAATTATTCAATAAAGTATGCAAAAGTTTAACAGATTAACCTGATTACATTCTAACACAGTATACAAAGAAGTATTTATTAGACAATAGTGTCTATAGCAACTGTATCAACACTTTGCTTCATACACTGTATTAGGGTTAAAGTATGTATCACTATACTAGTAGCTGAGACAGAACCCCTACCTTCTAGAGTTACAAAAGTATATTAGGATTATTTATATTGTGCATTTTTGTTTGTTTCACATACTGACTCAACAACCTACTACTAGTATAATAAGTAGTTATTGTATTTTCGAATGGATCTTAAAGACCTGACACCTCTATTCTAGGGAAAAGTAGGAGAACCCACATTTTATAAAAAGTTGACCTGAGAAAAGGATAAAAAGAAAAAGAATATACTATGGAAATTGACAATTACACAATAGTTAGAAAAAGGATATTTTGCTTGTGTTAGAGTACATTTGGACTTACTTATCCTATTCTATTTGAAATATATAAGGATTTGAGTCTAAGCATGGATTTGATAGCTTATTGTATGAAAGGACATACTAAAAGACAAGGAGCTAGAATTTGCTACTAAAGTGACTTTTAAGAAAACAAGTCTAAATAGCTACTCACATAATAAAGAAGATAACAAGTTGGCCAAGATATTTGTATTCAATAAGATAAGACTACTAGTAGGACTAGTACACAGAAATATAGTATATTGACAGACTGAAGCCTAGCTTGTAAATACAGATGACTAATACTTAAAAGATTTTATATTATAGTGCATTTGAGAATTATAATGTATGAGTCATCATTCTTGAATATACAAAGGGAGGAGATCTATTTGAGTGTCTTAAGCAATTCAATACTTTCACAGAGAAAATAGTAGTACATTACATTAGGTGCATGTTATTATAACTTAGTACAGAGCTATACTTACAGATAATTTGGATTTGTAGACAAATGGTTGAAGCTGTTACATATCTTCATTCAAAGAAAATAATGTATAGGGATGTAAAGTGAGTTACTATTACAAATGTAGGATGCCTGTTTGCTAATTGTGTTTTATCATAAATTCAATTAGACCCAAAAACTTCCTTATAAAAGATAAGTGTGACAACCCTACTAAGGATAGACTCCTGCTAAGTGACTTCAGATTGTGAGTACACCCCTGGACCAAAGTTAATACACTATTTGTTGATTTTCTTTTAGTGTAAAATATGGTGAAGACATGAAAGGAGACAAATTTTGTAGAACACCTACCTTTCTGGCTCCAGAAATCTACAAACTGTATCAACAAGGCTGGTACACAGAAATGATAAATATATGGTTGCTAGGGTGTGTACTTAATCTATATTCCTTGGAAGAAGTACTTATGTACTGTTCTATAGAGTAGCTACTTATTTTATTCTTACTACACATTATGTTTATAATACTATTCTGATTTAGGGAGCTCTACAATCCAGATAGAAATTTCAGGATGTTCCTGAATGTACTATTGTAAGTATTGTTACAAACAAGCACATTGAGAATTTCATCATAGCTGGAGATTGGATACATTATATAACAGATACAGGTGAGTAGTATTTAAAAGAGACACAAAGTTATTTATGAGTTAGATATTCACTATAATAATAGGAAAAGATTCCTTACACTATTGTCTGAACATTGATCTAAACAACAGATTGTCTGTAGAGAATCTTATAAAGTATAAGGTCAGAGTTCATATTTATAAGTGCTACTTACACATAAAATATTGCCTTTAGCTTATAAATCTATCTAGTAGTTTGAAAACTGTGACAAGAAGCTCTAGAGTAATAATACAATAGATAGGTGGAAAAGAGGTTTGATACATACTCAGACAGAAGCCTAAAGAAGATTAGACAAAAAGCAAGCTAAGAAAAGTAATGTTAGAAAATCAGTTAGTTCTAATACTAAAGGAACACAAAGGCAGAGTCAGAATCATTCACATATAAGAACAGTCATTAGGACAGTAAAAGAGACTATAATGTCTAAAACAAGTACAGGAAAGAAATAAGAGAGAAAGGATTAAATTAATAGTAAATTAAACTAGTAGTAAATATATTAGTTACTAAAACAATTCTCTTCTTAAATATACTATTATGATTTAGTAGTAGTTGTTACTATTTGTATATACTAAATCTGTCAAACTTCAGATCTTCCCAAACTCCTTTGAAATCTATATAGTTACTATAAACAATAAGTGTAATACTTGTCAACATGAGTGTAGTAATGTTAACTATTATACTAAAAGGCAAGTATAATCACTAATTAGTGATCCATACATACTCTGTACTCTATACAAGTACATATTACTTTCCTTATAAAAGACACATTTCTTCCTTATTAAGAGCATTTTCACAGTAATCTTAGAGTGTTACTTTACTTGTAATACACACTATATACAAATAGGTAAGAATAGTATTATACTAAGTGTGTATACTATAATTATTAATACTTTTTACAAGACTAATATATGCATTAAGATCCTCTCCCTTCTGTGATTAAACTGTTTTTACAGAGTAATAAATAATTATCAAGTGGTCACCCATTTTTTATTGTTTTTTATTATTTTATTATATATTATTATTATATACTAATCTAACAAGACTCAACACATAATACTAATACATTATTACAAACAAGCTGAAATAAAAGTGAATAGCTACAGACCTTGAAGACTTTTTTAAACTCTCTACTTTAGCCTTTAGGACAAAGAATCTAAAGATAGTAGTTTCAATAGTCTCAAATTTTCACAAAGAAAGAGAAAGCAAGATAGGAAAAATAAAATCGGTTAGTTGTATTCCTTGGAATTTTGGTCTAAGTAATACAATATGCATGTACGTACTAAGTACGAAGTAATAGTAAAGGAAAGCGCATTTAAGGATTAGGACAGGAGGACGGGCAGGCAGGGCAGGGCAGGAAAATATGTGTGTAGAAGACAGAGTATGAGAGGAAAATGTAGTCGAGACTAACAAGCTGTTATGCAAATTTATTTTGGACATCTCACTAGTAGAGAGTGAACAGGGAGCACGTCATTTTAGTTGCCCTTGGCCTTCTTTGCCATCTACACAAAAAGCAACCGATAAGCATTGAAGTCTAAAGGAAATCAAGACAGAGAAAGACGTACCAAATTCAACGCACTCCCAGCCTTAAACCACTCGATCTGTCCCTCATTGAAACTATGCGCAAGCTCAATTTCTTCCGTCTTCCCATCCTTATGCTTTACCTCCATAACCAAATTTTTCCCAGGAGCGAAGCTCTCCAACCCCTTAATCGTCACCTTATCATCCGGCCTCACATGTTCATAATCCTCCGGGTTCACAAACGTCAAAGCAAGCATACCCTGCTTCTTCAAATTCGTTTCATGGATACGCGCGAACGACTTCGTAATAATCGCCAATCCACCAAGGTACCTCGGCTCAAGCGCAGCGTGTTCACGAGACGACCCCTCTCCGTAGTTCGAATCACCGATGACAACCCATTTGATACCCTTGTCGCGGTAGGACGCAGCAACTTGCGGTACACCACCGTATTCACCTGTAAACTGGTTCTTCACCTTGTTCGCCTCGCCGTTCTCTGCGTTGATAGCACCGATGAGACAGTTTTGCGAGATGTTTTGGAGGTGGCCACGGTATTTGAGCCAAGGTCCGCCGGCGGAGATGTGATCAGTCGCTAATTAACAGTACGAATTAACACAATCATCCCTGCATCGAGTAAATACGCTGTACTTACTGCACTTGCCCTTAACCTTAATCAAAACCGGAAGGTCTGTTGGAGTCTTACCATCCCACGGCTGGAACGGTTCCAGCCTCTGCAGACGGTCACTCTTCGGGTCAATCGCAACCTGCACGCTCATACGATCCTCGGGTGGAGGCTGGAATGTGTCCTGACCAGGGTCGTATCCACGTGGTGGGAGTTCGTTACCAGAAGGCTGCGAGAACTTGAACGGCTTGCCATCCGAACCAGTGAGCGTGTCAGTGAGTGGGTTGAAGGTCAGGTCGCCGGCAAAGACCATGGCGGTGACGATATCGGGAGATGTGACGAATGCATGAGTAGCAGGGTTTGCGTCGTTGCGGCCAGTGAAGTTACGGTTGTACGAGGTGATGACTGAAGAAACAAAATTTAAGCATGACGTCACACAACCATTTCGACTTAAACAAAACATACTCGAGTTCTTGACACCCTTTGGTACGTCCTGACGGTCCCACTGTCCAATGCACGGTCCACACGCGTTAGCGAGGACAATACCACCAGCGTTCTCAAAAGTCTCAATCAGGCCGTCACGCGCGATTGTAGCACGGACTTGCTCGGAACCGGGAGTAATCGTGAATTTGCTCTTAACCTGCAGACCATGATCCGCAGCCTCCTTAGCAATCGCAGCTGAACGAGTCATGTCCTCATACGAAGAGTTCGTACAAGAACCGATAAGGCCGACCTTGAGCTCCGCTGGCCAGTCATTCTTCTTCACTTCCTCCGCAAACTTCGAAATCGGCGTGGCAAGATCGGGCGTGAACGGGCCATTGATGTGCGGTTCGAGCTCCGAAAGGTTGATCTCAATAAGCTGGTCGTATTCGGCATCCTTGTCTGCCTGCAAATTGTGCTCGAAGGATTTCGCGTACTCCGCAATATCTCCGCGCTTCGTGGCCTGGAGGTAATCGACCATTCGCCTGTTAAACGGGAAGATGGACGTCGTCGCGCCAATCTCGGCACCCATGTTGCAAATCGTAGCCATACCAGTGCATGATAGAGACTCAACACCAGGACCGTGGTACTCAACAATCGCACCAGTGCCGCCCTTGACCGTAAGAATACCTGCAACCTTAAGAATGACGTCTGATGACATATCAACGTCAGCATACAGTAAAAAACACCATGAACGGAAGACGCACCCTTCGGTGTAGTCCAACCACTGATCTTGCCAGTCAAGTTAACGCCGATGACCTTTGGGCACTTGAGTTCCCACGGAAGATTCGCCATCACGTCGACCGCATCAGCACCTCCGACACCGCAAGCAACCATTCCCAGACCGCCAGCGTTCGGTGTGTGAGAGTCCGTGCCAATCATGAGTCCACCGGGGAATGCATAGTTTTCAAGGATGATCTGGTGGATGATTCCAGAGCCGGGGCGCCAGAAGCCCATACCATACTGAAAGGCAAGTTAGAACATGTAGACTTTGCGCGTGTCCATACGAACCTTCGCAGTTGCAGTAGCCAAAAAGTCATAAACCTCCTTGTTGATGTCAATAGCACGCTTCAAATCTGCTTGCCCGCCAATTTGTGCCTCAATAAGATGGTCGCAGTGTACGGTGGTAGGGACTGCGACGGCGTCCATCCCAGAGGACATGAATTGGAGGATAGCCATCTGAAAGGAAGTCAGATACCCGAAAAGGGTTGAGAACGATAAATGAGCGACGAACCTGCGCAGTTGCGTCCTGACAAGCTACGCGCTATAAGCGGAGAAGGGTTAGCATCGTTGTCAGTGCCGATTGTCTACATCCTTACGTCTGGTCTGAGCTTGAGGTAGCTCTTCCCTCGGTCGATATCCTGGTTATGAGGATCGTCGAGGTGTCCATAGAGAATCTTTTCTGACATTGTCAGTGGTCGATTCAACCTAACGAGCTGATAAGTGCGCTATCGCCACAACAACAGAACATCGCATACCTTGAGCGCACAACAGCGAGGTTATCTTCAATGCGCTGATAATTAATATAACTATTTGGCTCCAGTCTACTCATGGAGACTTTCTTGTCACCAATGCGCGGAGCAGCGGTGGCCATACCAGCGGCCAGGCGCTTGACAGACATGACCGCACTGGCGGTCCTGCTAGCGAGGTTGAACATCGTCGATGACGACGGGCGAGTGCCGGGGGACTACAAGTTCGTAGGGAGAGGGGGATGACGGTGGCGAGGTGGAAGATGAGTGGAAAGTGACGTTGAGGAACAGGTTCGCCCGTTTTATGTTGCTGGCCGGTCGGCGCCGGAGTTGGCCGCCTAAACACCTCAACTGTACCTCATCCAATCAGAGCGGCTCTGTTACTCTTGTCCTCTGCGGGTTTTTGCTCGCTGGTTGTCATATGTTTTTACTTCCTTCCGTCCATCTTAGAATTTTTACAAGAATATGTTATATTTCATGTTATGTAGTGTAGCTCCTAGCATACATTGTACTGCTGGGTATACCAGTGACGCTGAACCCAAGGCGTCATTGCTCGTCGGCGTTCCGGATTCCGAGTCCCCGGACAGAGTGATGCTCTTGAGCGAGAGCAAGTCCGAGCGAGAGCGGGGCGAATCACCTGCCTCCAAACTGCATGCCGATTTCTCCCGGTCTAACTATAAATTCATTTTGTTCAGCGTTTTGTTGAGGCTTCAGAATGCCATCCTCGTCCTATCACAGCATCTCTTCTCCTTCAACTAAGGCAAAAGCCTGACTACATTCCACAATACACAAGACGTGTACCACGGTACTACTTTGAGTCTCACTTTTCATGAGGCTACATTGTAATCAACTAGAACATAATAAAGCCATTTTAATGGCAGGAATAGAGGCATCTGCACAACGCATTCCACAGCATTTGTAGTCGAACAGAACGCTGGGCATCGTCATGAAAGAACCGCATTAAGCAACGTGTCGCTACGTGTACGAGCAAAGTACGAAACACGATACAATCACAGTCGAGCTGCTACGTAGCACAGTCCAAGCGTGAGACTTCCACAAGAGAACAGAGAAAGGGCGCCTCAGAGGAAAACAAGTCCGTCCCTTTGTATGTAACAAGGTAAGGGATGCCAGACGGACAAAGTCACCGACGACAAGCAAGGGCGCACACACCCTCGCGTCTGTGCTCATCACTTTGCATCACGAAGCTCATCACCGGCGGTCTGTTCTCGTGGAAGAATCAAGGAGAAAAAAACAGAACGTCGACGAAAACTTGGGAATAAAAGGATGGGTAGTCACGTGATGTAAATTGACGTGTCGCGAGAGGTCGTGTCGACGTGGCACTCATCTCAACTTTTATAAGGCTGCTCAGCTGCAGCCCTCTGTTCCTTAGCTTTTACCACCAACAACGATGTCCCGCCTCCCAAGACGGCCGACTAGAACGCACGCACGTCGCGTCGCGTCTTCTGTTTCTCTCCTCTGTCTTGCTTTCATTGCCCTCTTTTGTTTATGTCCGCTCGCTGTAAACGCTGACGAGGACTCGCGCTCAGAGTACGGTCCCGTCATTGGTATTGGTACGTGTCTTCCGTCTTTGTAACTTTTCGCCCTTTACTGACAACGACTCTAGATCTTGGTACTACGTGAGTATATTAAACAGCTGATGTAGAACAAAGACTAAATAATTTTCGCAACGTCTAAAGTTACTCTTGCGTCGGGTACGTCTCCCACTACCATTTCCCCATCCACGCGCAAAGCTGACGTGTCATTCAGTGTTCAACGCGGCGGTCGCGTCGAAATTATCGCCAACGACCAAGGTCACCGTATCACCCCATCCTGGGTTTCCTTCACCGATGACGAACGTCTCGTCGGCGATGCCGCAAAGAACGCCTTCCACTCCAACCCCGAAAACACCGTCTTCGACGCTAAGCGTCTCATTGGACGCAGATCCGATGACCCCGAGGTCAAGCGCGATATGACACATTGGCCGTTCAAGATTAAGGATAAGACTGGAAAGCCGATGATCCAGGTGCAGCATAAGGGCGAGCAGCGTGAATTCGTAAGCGCATTTTTCGTCACCTGAATCTTCAACGTGGCTAAGGCGATAATTAGACTCCTGAGGAAATCAGCGCAATGGTTTTGTCCAAGATGAAGGAGACCGCTGAGGCTTACCTCGGCAGGAAAGTCACCCACGCTGTCGTTACCGTCCCCGCATACTTCAACGACGCTCAGCGTCAAGCAACCAAGGATGCCGGTACGATCGCTGGTCTCCAGGTCTTACGTATCGTCAACGAGCCTACCGCTGCCGCGATCGCCTACGGTCTCGACAAGAAGGGCGGCGAGTCTCGCATCATCGTATACGATCTCGGTGGAGGTACCTTCGATGTCTCCCTCCTTTCCATCGACGATGGTGTCTTTGAAGTCCTCGCAACTGCTGGTGACACCCACCTTGGCGGTGAAGACTTTGACAACCGCGTCATTGACTACTTCGTCAAGCAATACAAAAAGAAGACTGGAACGGACGTCTCGACGAACCTCCGTGCTTTGGGTAAACTCAAGCGCGAAGTCGAGAAGGCCAAGCGCACACTTTCCAGCCAACAATCCACCCGTCTCGAAATCGAGTCCTTCGAAAACGGGAATGACTTCTCCGAGACGCTCACCCGTGCCAAGTTCGAAGAACTCAACATGGACCTTTTCCGCAAGACGATGAAGCCCGTCGAGCAAGTTCTTAAAGACTCTGGGGTCAAGAAGGATGAGATTGATGAAGTCGTTCTCGTCGGAGGCTCAACGCGTATCCCTAAAGTTCAACAGCTCCTCAGGGAGTACTTCGGTGGCAAGGAGCCGTCGAAGGGAATTAACCCTGACGAGGCTGTTGCGTATGGTGCTGCTGTTCAGGGTGGTATCTTGGCTGGTGAGGAAGGTACTGCGGACGTCGTACTTATTGATGTCTGCCCGCTTTCTGTTGGTATTGAGACTACGGGTGGTGTCATGACGAAGCTTATTTCGCGTAACACTGTCGTCCCGACTAAGAAGTCTCAGATGTACGTGCCCTCCTCTTCCTCTCAATCCTTTCTGTTTCCTAATTTCGCCCCTTATTTAGCTTCTCGACTGCAGCAGACAACCAACAAGTCGTCCTAATCCAAGTCTACGAAGGCGAACGCTCACTCACAAAAGACAACAACCTCCTCGGGAAATTCGAACTCACCGGTATCCCCCCAGCGCCCCGCGGAGTCCCGCAAATCGAAGTCACCTTCGAAATTGACGCTAACGGTATCATGAGAGTCTCAGCTGCCGACAAAGGCACGGGTAAATCCGAATCTATCACCATCAAAAACGAAAAGGGTAGATTATCAGACGAAGAGATCGAAAGAATGGTACAAGAAGCAGAAGAGTTCGCAGCAGAAGACGAAGCCCAACGTAAACGCATCGAAGCAATGAACTCCCTCTCCAACTTCATCTACGGAATCAAATCGCAACTCTCCGACCAAGACGGGCTAGGCGGCAAGTTGGACGACGAAGACAAGAAAACTCTCCTCGCTACCGTGAAAGAAACCACAGAATGGGTGGAGAGTGAAGGTGCGACTGCGAGTTTGGAGGAATTGGAGGAGAAGCTGGGTGAGGTGCAGAGTGTTGTTAACCCTATTACTAGTAAGCTTTATGGTGCCGGTGGAGCTGGAGGGGGAGGGAGTTATGCGCCTGGAGAGGATGAGGATGATCAGGAGCCGTTCCGCTCGCATGATGAGCTTTAATTTACTTCTCACTTCGTGGGCGGGTGGATGTGCTTCACGCGACTTTCTTTTTTTTATACACATTTGCACTTTTCTTTTCTTTTTTTTATTTGTACTTCCTCCAAAAATATAGCGCTAGAGAGGCGATATAGTAATAGAAAGTCCTACCAGGCTGAACGAACTGTAGAGAAAAAGGAAAAGGAGAATAGACTGTAGTCTTAGACGAAGACAAGACGAAAAGAAACTCCTCGCTACCGTGAATGATACAAGACAGAATGGGTGGAGTGAGGGAACTAGCATGCAACGTTAGAGGAGCTTACACTTGAGGAGAAGCCTAATGAAATGCAGACAGAACGTTGCAAACCCTTTTACTAGTAAGCTTTATGGTGCAGGAGGAGCAGGAGGGGGGGGGGATTTATGTACTGGAAGAGGACAAGGATAAGGATGATCAGGAGCCATTCCTCTCACATAATGAGGTTTAGCTTTGATCTTTAACTCTTGCCCACACAGAGAGTAGTAATGTTTTCTTAGACATACATACCTCTAGCTAACATAAAAACCTATTCATTACCTTCACTCAGTATTAATGCTAGCAGGCCAGACTAGTAACTAGTCTTAGCCAGACATTAGTAGAATTATTAGTAGATAGATTCAAAGTAATCCTATAAATATATAAAGAGCAATTTACTAAACATAGTAAGTTTCAGTAGATGTACAAACTGGCAAAAGAGTACAGTAGCAAAGTGTACTAAAAGTATAGTATAAAAATACATAGTGTACTTATTATGAGATGATTAGTTCATTAACAGATGAACCACAAGACAATGACTTCATAATGTCTCAGTTAGAATACATACAATATAAGGACAAGAGACACTAAGTAGTCAATTGTCACCTCACCCCTTGTCTATGTGTGCCCCCCTTAAGTTTTCCCTCTTAACAGGTTATAAGCCTTGAGCTCCCTGCATACATGCATCCACTGTACACTCTAAACCCTTTACTTGCATACATTTGCACACATTTGTATTATGGTTCCCCTACATACAGATACACACTGTAAACCAGCTGATGTACCTAAATACTTTGGTCAAAACATTACAATGCTTAAGACTGAAGCAAACTATAAGATGTGGCACTACCACATTGTTTCTAGTGTTACAGCTATGTGCTTCAAACACTTACTAAAGGATAAACTGTAGAACAAAGCTGAGAGGGAGATGGCTAAGGCTATTCATGTATGTATAGTTAATAACATTACTGACACAATATTGGCAAACTATATACACTTCAATACATCTATCCCTCAGTTAATGAAAGTGTTTGAAGAATGC